AAACAAAGGCCCCTCTAAATTTAGGGTGCATGAGGTAGCTCTGGCTACTTTCCCAAAGACAAAGAGGAACTCACAGAAACACAAACCCTGCTCCTCAGTGCACAGAAGCCAATCTGTGGTATCTTAATTGAATTATAGAGGTATCGGCTGTAACGTGAATGTTGTGGAAGATTACCAGGTAAAAGTATTGCAAATTATCTGTTAATGCACAATAAAAAGAGGAAGAGGAGCAGGTGCAATGTCTTTAATCCTCCAAAGAAAAAGAACCTCTTCACTGTCAAGAGATACTGAGAAGAAATATTGTTTTACATGGAAGATGTTTATCATCAAAGAGATATTGAGGCAAGTTTCATGAGCATTTTGAAAGATTTTTGAAGGCTCAAAAGTCTCCACACCACAAAACTCAATTTTCAGAACAAGTAAGCTACAGAGATCCCAGGGGGAAAGAAAGTATACTGTCTTGTTGCAAACTCTTTTAGCCCGAAGTCATCTGTCAGAATATAGTTTTTTATTATCTGGGTTCATGTATTAACTGTGTTGTTAAGAAAACATATGTTCTGGCAGTGCTTCTGGCAGTACTGTTAGTGGTGGCATGCAACAATTTTGGTTCCTCTATAGACTGACCCTTAGTTGCTGTGAAAGATAAAGGTCTTTAAATGTTTGAGTGTGAGACTCTTGTAATGCAGGAGGAAACAGAGATGTATTTTTGAAATAAAATTTTTCCTGTCTGTCTCCATGTAGTGCTGATTCCTGCGCTTGATGAGAGCAGGAAAGGAACTGAAACACTACATCTAGCTGAAGGCTTCTGAGTTATGCCCTTGGTTTGCAGTGTAAAACAAATTATTAAACAGAAAAAAATAATAATAGAAAAAAATCCCTTTTACAAGATAATTGGAATGTATAAAAATATGGAATCCATCATATTATTATTCACTTATATGTTAGTAAAAAGAACTGAACTAAAGAATCTCTATAACACACACACCCTGGGAACAAAGTTTAGGCATAAAACAAATACATTTACTATGCTGACAATAGTCATGGATTTCAGAATCACAAGAAAAGCAATAAATATTCTAAGCCAAACTGCATGTTTTAAAGATACCCAAAACAAGAGGTAAAGTATTCATTTCTCAGTCCCTGAAGTTCAGAGAAATGGGGTACTGTGGTGGTTCTGCCTAAATCCTGCCTTGCATTGAAAGCAGATCAGCTAGAGAGCAAATCCTGCTGCTATTGGGTATGAGCACTTTCTGTGAAGAAGCAAAGCTTTCCCTTCCAAGACTTTACCCCATTGCACTTTGTTCCTGCTGGCAACACATCACAGCCTGTTTTTGTGGGCTTGATAAAGAGGATTTGGCATTGGAGATACATGCTGTGTGTGAGATACCAAATGAAAGTAGCAAAGGAATGGATGAAAGCTACCAAGTGTTGCCCAGCCACCCTGTGTATCATCTGAGAAAGAAAAGCCAGCTGCAAACAGAAGAGCAAACAAGCCTACCTCTGACTCTTGGGGTAGCAGCAATTAACTCAATGAATTAAAAAGCACTATGATTCCCTCTTACTAAGCTGAGTTCCTTCTAAGGCAAACAATTGCCTTCCTAAATAGAATAAAATATTTTCCAATGTGTCACCTTAATAAAAGCTCTGGGACAATTCCTCTTTCAGAACACATCAGGTTACAGCAATGCAGGAACAAAAGTGCAGATGGTTTATGATGGGTAGTATCAAAGCAGTGCAGGACAAACTAGCTCAAATACCTGATCTGAGGTACAAAAAAAACCCAAATTTGCATTGATGTGGCATAAACATATGATCTTGAATAGATATGGCCAAGGCTCCAAAAAAAGCTGCAAAAATAGTTAACTTAGTTCAGTTCTTCCACAGACCATAAATAAGGTTCAAAGAGTTATAAAACCAGGCACTAGACACCAAATGCATGCAGTCTTGGAGTAGTGCTAGTAAAAGTACATCACCACCTCTCTGCTGCACCGAAAAATTAAGTAAATACTTCATTCATACATGCATACACATATTGCATACACACTTTCACTTCAGAGCATTTCTATAGTTTGTTAGGTACTGGCACTAAATAAAGTTTTGCAAACATTTTCATTTCATATTGTTAGTGGTAAAGAGAATATTTGTGGTGCATGGTCACTAAGCAAACAGAGTGAAAATACTTTTACAGGGAGTATAAACAGTTTTATGGAGTATCAGAGAGCAAGAGGAAGCTGCAAATATAGAGCACCAGCAGCTGTTCTGGGGCAAGGCAGCTGCTCTGGTTCCATCTAGTAGCAAACTCTATTTGGGCAAACAAGTGGGTGGAGGACTGTGTAATGGAATATAGCGACTTCTAAAGTGGCATAACTCATAAAAGGATGAGAGGACTTCTTTCTCTCTTTTTTATATTATTTTTAATAAGAATTGGGAAAGTGGCCCAAAACTGTTCCTGGATAATCACTTGAATAAAATACTGGATTTATTACACTGCTATTGACACCCTTTCTTAACCTATTTTCCATGAATATTCCGTTTAATTGTAGGAAAGCTTGAAAAAACAGACACCAGAGCTGGTGCAAGAACATCTACATTTCCACATTATATATTTTTATAAGATCCAAATCCTTAGAGATTTATTTCCTCTGCCCCAAATACATAAAAAAACACTGGAAAGCTATATGTGCAGGCAAATTTATTATGAGCACTGAAGATATGTTCTCAGAAAGCTTTCAGCAAATACCTGGGAAAGCAAATATACTGTAGATTAGCCATGTTGGCTTGTGGGAAATTTATCAATTAAAAAAAATAGATTATATTTATAAAATTTCTTACTCAGCTCCAGTGCAACAAATATACTAGACTGCTATACTGCAGCCAGGGCTGCTCATTCAGCAAGCAGTTGTTTCTTCTCTTGAAGTTGCTAGAGTGACAACTGGTTGCCAACAGTATATGTTTATGGTAACTAATGACTACAGGTTTCTTTCATCCTCAGAAATGTTTTCTGGGTGCAAACACCAATCCCACTGTGTATGTTGCCATGAGCTGGTATTTCACCCTGCTTCTAGGGCACTATCTGTGTGCCTCTGTTCAGAGAGCAGGACTTCAGTTGCTGGAAGCTCTGTGGCCTCTCCTCACCCATGGGTTTCCATAAATGCTTCTGTTGTGCCTTCCGTGACAACCAGAAGTAAATATGTTATATGTTCTCCAGACAGCTGCTGTAACATATTGTGGAATACAAACCCAGCAGCATCAAAGCCACCCTACAAGTAAAATAACTACATTAACTGGTAGGAAAATTGATTTTTAACTTCAGCTAGCAGAAGGGAATGGACACAACAATGATATTTTCTGGTTCCTGCAACACACCCTCACAGTTCAGCTGGCCCTTTTCACTTGGGTGAAAGAGGTGCTGCACTTTCAGGCTAGTCTGTCCTAAGAACAGCTGATCCAGAGAATCTCTCATAATGACTGTGAGAGAAAAATATGCCTTTGATCCATCCTCATTGCCAGACCTCTGTGACCTGAAGATTTTATCCAGCTGGGAGTCTACCTTATTTTTTGACAAGACAAAGAGGGGCTGTTGATTACAATTCATAGCAGCAGCCACTTTTACAGCAAAACCATCTTCATTTCTTTCTTGTATTTACATTGTACAGTTGTATTGTACATTGCATGTACATTGGTACGGTTTGAATACAGTGCATTTGTAATTGAGATAAATTATCTCTATACATGAGATGGCCCTTTGGGGATTCCTCAGAGACAGCTTTACAAAGTACCCAAGGTTCACAACTGCCATCAACAAAAAACTGAAATAGTCCCTTCTATCATTTGTTCATCTGAATCTTGTATAACAAATGGCCACCACACTCCATAGCTGATATCCCCAGTTATCAGCCAGATTTCTGCCAAACTTTGTATTGTTATCCTTGGCCCATTAGCCTAGAGATATTAAGCTCAAACATTTCAGTACAGTTCCTGCTGTATTCCAGTTGGAGAACAGTGATTCATTCTACCATTTCTCTCAGGAAGAACAGATCAGCTATGGGCATAATTTACAAAACCTAATGAACTTCGGGCCTGGTTTCTTAGACTAAAGCATTAATTCTTTTTAATCAGCTGTTTCTCAGTAATCAACAGATTTTTTGACAATTGGTGTGGAGTAGCACCATTCAAAAACTTATGGAGAACACTAATGCTGTACTGAATCTGCACCAAAAAAGCATCCTTGTGCTGTATTTTCATAGCTGTCTTTTACTCTTGTTTAAAAGAGCATAACTATCAGAACCGCTTTGTTCAGTACGTGTGTATATAATAATGTATATGAGTCCATCATTGTGGTGTTCACTGTGGAAATAATGCAGTCATACAAAAGACACATTGCTCAAAATAAAACCTAAGATAAATAAAGGAAGCTATAACATGCTCTGTTGGGCCCTCTTCTGGACCTATTTAAAGTCAATGGCAAAGTTCCCACTGACCTCAAGCAGGAACTAGCTCCTTTTTCTCTTTCTAGATTTGTTTAGAAAGAAATATAATGACAGACTTGAAAGGTAAGATGAAATATTTGGGGAGAGAGAGAGAAAGAATAAAAAAAGGAAAAGAATCAAAAGGGAACAAAGTAAAATAAAAATCTGTATTTTTACCATTCTGCATAGGGTGTAACAAGAATTGATTAGGGTGGATTTTTTCAGATTTTCCATGTTCTGGTTTTGCCAGAATATTTTTAATATTTTATTGCTTGCATCTCTTTCCCAGCTCTTTCCATCCTCTTCTCTGTGGGCACTTCTACTGGCCTCAAAAAGCATGTGGTGCTTCACAAAACCAAAAATGTGTTTGCCATTAAATATAATGTGTAAAATCTTACGATGCTTTCAGAGAAATAATGCTCACATATCCAAAATGAGGGGAAAATGGTACCTAATCATACGTATAATTCACAACATTTATTTCACCGGTAATGAATGTTGTCAGGTTTTTCCTATGTTGAACAGCCATACCTGAGGGGCACAGCATTAAAGGGCACATTCACTGCTGACATAAATGGTAACTACGGCCACTTCAGTGAAGTTATCTCCAATTAAGCCAGCCATTACATTCACTTCAAGGTATGCAATACATTTTAAATGATAGAAGCAAGTCCAGGAAATGCTGAGTACTTCTACGAACCCTCCTTCGTGTGTGACTCCCCCTGGACTCAGGCTCCTTTCCTAAATCCAGCGGTTTTGTGGTAAGTGCCGCCTGAGCAAAACACGGCGATGGTCAGCGCTGTGTCCTGTTTACCGTCGCAATTAACAAAGCGGCATTCAGCGAGAGACACCAAAGAGCCTGCTGCACTTAAAGGGCTAAGGAGAGGTGATAACAGCCCTGGCTTCGTTAAGGCTCGCTGCCCAACTTTACTGAAAATGTAGTGACAGATAAAACATAAATCAACATCCTTATCGTTCTGGCTTCCTTGCCTGCCAAATGGGGGTTTAGTTTATCAGCGACCTGCAGGCCCACTGGCGGCCTTTACACTTACAGCTGGTCAGCGGGGTGGGACAGGGTGGAAGCTAAATGGCTGCTCTAAAACGCCTTGGTGTAAACAACCCGGGGAAGGACTTCCTTGAACTGCCAGTTACCTGAGTGCGATCCATCTCACTAAAGCGTCTGCCCCAAGAGGGGTAGTATCACCGGGAAAGAAAACAAATAAAAGACACCCAGCATGTCGCAACGCAGGCACAGGCTGGGGAATACTGTCCCCTGGAGGGGGTGAGGGATCCTCAGCAAGGTAAGCTCCTTATGGCGTTGCTCAGGAAGCGGGCAAGTATTTTGGAAGAAAAGGGACTTCATGAGCCCAGCCTGCTTCCCCCGTTTTGTGACCAGAACATACAGCCTTTACACATATATGTATACATAATGCAGTGTCTGCTTTGACTCCCTGTGAGCCTCATCGTGGGAGAAATCCTTTCAAAGGCACCAGTAGTCCCCAAGGCTCAGGAGAGGAGAGTATCAAGGGCATATTTATCCCCCCTTGCAGGCCAGCAGGCTTCTTTCCCTGTGTTTTATGTAGGTTGCTCTATGTGTAGGGATTTTAAAAGTATTTGTCCCAATTCATTGTGTCACAGTTATACTTGCACTAAGTTCAGCTCATAAAACAAAACCCTTTTAAACTGGGCCTTGGTCATGTAGAGGCCATGGGTTTGGACAGAGAGCCCCCAGTTTTTGCTAATTATGGGACTACACTGACATAATCAGCCTCATGCAAACAGTTAGTGAAGATGAAATTAGGATTTAGATCAGTGATTTATTTCTCTCTTGAGATCTACTGCAGCAAGTAATTTCTTAGAAGTTTAAAGTGAGGCAACTGCAATGGTGGGTTTATGTCACTATTAACAAAAGTGTCAAATGCAGGTAGGTTTGACAGACATTAGTACAAGACTTGTGGGGTTTTTTGTAACTAAAATTGAATTTACTTTAAAAGTTCCATTTTCCCCTGTCCTTTAGGTATAGTGAGTCAAACTACAGCATTTCATTTAGACAGCAAACTACTCCATATTTCCTTGTGTTTTGAAAGCCCATCTTCTGGCAACAACTCCATGGAAAATAATGTGCTGATCACGAGCAAATCACAGGTGGGAAGTGAAGACACAGTGTTACACCCATACTGTTGTGCAAAAAAAATGCAAATGTACACAGTGAACAATGTTACATATGTTGGAGCCACGCCTTCTGGCAAAAAAATGTACATTTTATAATGAAAAGTTCGCTTCCTGATTCTTTTTTCACAAAGAAACATTTTCCAATCTATTCAAACACCTGGGATATAAAGAAAGATATTCTCTTCTTTGTGTACTTGTTTGTTTAGCAGGGTATTTTGACAAGGTTACCAAAGCAACAGCAACATACCTGCACCCATATTTAGCCAAGTCTTCTCAAAAGCTCACGCTGCACATGCTCAGATGTACATACAACAACTAGTTTGTCCCCAAGAAGTCTGTCAGAAGAGCATGTTTCAATCTAGAGCTACAAGGAGCTGAACAAGGAGTTTTTTGAAGCAGCAGATAGCACGAGAGCAGTCTCTGGAAAGGACAGAGTCGAGACCGAAGCCCTTTCACTCTCAGTGCACTCCAGGCAGAGAGGCAATGGAGTAAAAGTAGTGGCCTGCACAGCCAGGACAAATAGAAGGCATATTTGGAAATGCAGCAAGTTTATAGGAGTTGCAAAGTTGAGAGAGGGGAGGAAGGAGGGTGAGAAAGGAACTGAAGGCAGAAACCAAAGTTGAAGTAAAAGAAAAAGAGAAGGGCCAAAGTCAGAGTGTATGAAAGGATGAACGCAAGACACAAGTGGAGGTGGAGTGCCATTATAGAGATGCCAATGAAAGAAAAGAAAACAATAGAACCAGAACAGAAAGTTGGAAATGTTGGTGAATGTTATACTTCAGCTAAACATTTCCAAACTACCTCTGCTATGAGCTGTGTATTGCACTTACAAAAATGACTGGCTTTCCTCTAGCTGCTGAAAATAGCCTTTAAAAGGCAAATCACCTACTACTAGAGCTACCAATTGTTGTGTGGCCAACTGTTAGTTTGTTCAAACACAGCACAAACTAGGTTTGGAAAAAAAAATCTGCCTATGATACCAAAAGTCGAATGTAAAACCCTGTTGTGTTCCAGGAGCTATGGATCACACATCTTGGAAGAGGCTGTGCTACTGGCCAGAAAATTTTCTTCCTAATGGAAGACCAGCTAACCACAGGATCTGCTGCAGACCACAGACCAGCCAAACTCTACTAAAGACAGCCCACTAGGTTGGAATGCGACCACAGTTTGGAAACCACTGGCTCGTGAAATAAACGAGATAATATTTCAACCTATACTGTCAAACATGGTTTTCTTGAAGTACTGTCAGGGCTGTGTAAGAAATAAGGTCATGTCTGTAGGATTGTCCCAGAAGCTCTGTGGAAATACAGTGAACTCTGTTCTTCCAGAAATCAGCACAAATGTAGACAACTGATAGAGAATGGTAATTTTTCATCTACAAAGCCTGCAAAGGTAATTCAGATGTTACCATCAGAACTCTGGAATTTTGCCTCATCAAAACCTTCATTAAAAACTAAAATGTGCGTCAGTGTATGATAGCCAGCACTGCAAACTATGATTTCACTTAACGCAGGAAAATGCCTCTCCAGATGTGTCAGAGCCAGGATCAGTACCAAGTTAATATTTACCTTGCATCTAAGTATGAGAAATTAGTGACAAATATTTCAATATCATAAGTTTGAGCATTCATATGTGAACTTTTTGACATTAAAGGTAAGGAAAGAAAAGGTTATTATAGAAAATGGAGACATTTCCTGACAAAGACAGAATTACACAATTTTGAAAGATAATATTTAACCTTTGGAAAGGCCAAAATTCTTTGGACTGACGCAGAAGTTATAAAGACAGATCTTGCCAAATGTAGAGTAATTTTTGAAGAATTACTCTTTTTCACAATGCTAATACAAAAATCCTTGGACATAAAACTGAGAACTCTGGAACAGGAAGGAGAAATGATAGATGCTTTAAAAAACAAGTCTATTTAGAAGCCATTTGTCTGAATTTTGTAATGTCCACTGACAATAACATATTTTCATCCTTGACTGTATTTTACAAGTTCATTTCTTCATGGACAGAAACCAGTATATTTAGCTTCTCAAAATATGTGTCTTAAAAGTGGATAGCGATTGCTTGCTTCTAAGTTCTATAAAAGAAAGGAAAAGAAAAAGGACACTGAGAAATAATGCAAGTGTATACACATACAGCCACATGTATAAACCTGTTCATACACTTACATTGAAATTGTAACACAATTGTGAAGAAATGGGATTAACAGTGGAATTTCTCCTTTTCTGCAATATCCCACTTTTAGAATGAGGAATTCCATATGTATTTGCTTCCACAGATGGCAAATATGTTTCCTCTGAAACAGCTTCCTATGTAGAGTTTCTGTTTATAGAAACATGGAACACAAATAATCCTCTTACTTAACTGAATTACTTCTTTTTGGTTTTGTTGCCGTTGAATGATTAAACCACGACAAAAGCTAAAGCACTACACAGTAGTAATGTGAAATCAAATTCTGCATTGTAAACTTCAAAAACTTGAGACTTTCTAGAGTGCTCGCATTCAGGACATATTAAGGAAAATTCCACACAAATGAAGAATGTCATAATAGCAAAGAAAAAAGGAGACAAACAGGGAGGTAGGAAACAGCAAATGCTGAGAATACAACATCTGTAAAAGGCACCAACAATTCCAAGCTTGCAATGGGCTGTCACTGTACACGCAATGAGGAAATTTCATTTAAAAGTTACAAAAATGACCTTGCTTTGAACCAAGTGAATGTGATTATTTCTGAACTGAATGGAAAGTAAAAAAGTTTGGATTAAATGTTTTACCACTGCCAATGTCCCAGAACTTTCTTTGGCTCTATATTCTCTTTTCCTATGTTTGTCAGCTGAATTTAATGTTCTCTTCTTTTTTGTCTCCTGGTCTCTTTGACCTTAATGTGACATTTTAGTTGGGTGATTAATTACTATTAAATGGCACTGCATTTATTAAATGGAGTCCTTGTCTGTGTAAGAGCACGGTCACAATGCAACGATTCAGTTTGATAAGCTTAAATATACACAGTTAGATGTGGTAATATCTAATTTGTCAAGGATCTTGTGGCTAGCTTTTCTGCCACACAGCTAGAGAGGAGATGTGATTGCACAAAAAGCTTAATATTCTGAGCTTAAATGTTCTCAGTAAATTGATCTTCTCCATCATGTAATCTTATTTCAGAGTGTGCAGGAGACAGCAAAGTCCCACACAAGCCTAAGTTGCCTTAATAACAGGCCTGAGGGTTCCTGACCATAGAAATAAAAGCTATGTGACAAGATTTGTATGTCTCTTTTCAGCAGACAACAGCTGACTCGCCCTGCCAGAAGCTTTCTTTCTGGGTTAATTGAATAAAAAGAAGAACAAATGTCAGTAAAAGGATGAAAAGTTCATTGAAAAAGAAAAGATACATCTATAGGTTGGACACCTAAGTCAAAAAGAGATTGTGAATATTTAGCTTATTAAGTGAAACACCAGCACCTAACCTTGTAATCAGCCAGGTTATTATTCTGTCAGTTTTATTCTCCAAACACTGCTTTACTCTGTTCTTATCTAACAGTTGATTTAGAACTTTTTTTCAGACTATAATGAATCATCAAATCAAAACTTCTTGCAAGTAAAAGGTTGGTTTTAACATCTGTGGGAAAAAAAAAATCATGCTGGACAAAATAAAAATGTGAGGGAGACTTTCACAAAAAGCTTGGGAGTTTTGAGTATTCATGAGAAAGACAGACAGCAGCTGGAGCTAGTTCCTGTTTCTTATATCAATTCTTTTCCCCTCTGGTTAAACACAACTAGACCAGCAAGAAGAATAACAGTAGTTTTTCTCAGGTTTCACTCTCAGTCCTCATGTCTTCCACTTCCAAGACATTCATTCTTGCTCCTGCATCTGCAGAGTCAGTACCTGTCTTTATAACTCTTTCTTACTACACAAAAAAAACAACTAGAAATCAAAATTAAAAGGTGAAACAGATCAGGTTATTATAAGAAATAGGAGGCCTTCAGTCTTATCTCAAACCTGCAAGTACTTTCCCACAGAGAAAATTGCAAATGTTGTAAGAGAGAAATCACACCTCTCGTCTGAATTTAGGGGTTTACAGAGATCTCGTAGAGATATTGTGGAGTTGTGGGTAATGTTTGGGCATGCATCTTCAGACCTTCTCTAGATCTGAGATTAATACCTTCATATCAACCACAGTGGGAACCCAGATGCAGACCTTCACCAGAGACACATTTGCATGTGGTCAGGGAACAGCTCCCACCTTCATGGGGAAAAATGAATCACGAAACTATGATATGGAGGCATCCTCTTTGTATGATGAAGAGCCAAGCTGAACTCCATGCACAAGGAGATACTTGAACTTGCATGTTCTGCAGGTTGGCAGACACTGTTCCAGCTGGAGACACCAAAAGAACCCTGCCTTCAGGCCAAACATCCGTAGTGAAGTGAATCTAAATGAATCAAGAAAGACCATAATCTTGACTACCTCTGACAGAATTATATTCTTGTCTTGAGTACTGATGGCAGTCTAAAAGGATTGCACAAGAAAAACATTCTTACAATTCTCATTAAGGATTAAGTCAGCACATTCCCAGTTGCTCCTGCATAGGTTTGTTCATCTCCATCTTCCACTATCAGGAACAGGAAAAAAAGCATATTCATATTGTCCTGAATCTTATGGGCTCAGGATTACAGGCAGGAAGATGCACCAGGTGTGTGTTTTAGCAGACTCAAAATATAAGTCTCTTAAACATTCTTCATGCTAGAGATATGTCGGGCACTTCTTCCTGAAAACTTTATAGAAATTATATCCAACTGCAAAAAATGCCCTTTTTTTACCTGAGGCATCAAGCCTGGGCATAGCATCTACTTCAAAAGCACTCAATTCTTACCTTCCTTGCAGAAATATATTTTTATTGGTCTAATTTGCTGGTTTTAGGAAACAAAACAAAGACATTATGCAGTCTGTCCCCATGATCTTCAGAACAAATTTCTAGAAAACATAGAGCAACTTTGCAAATACAAATTGCTCTGCTTCTAGAGCCAATTTAATATTACATTATATGATTAATAAAAAGTGGTTAATAGCAACACAATACATTTCATGTTTATCTAAATGAAATGTCTTAATTTAGTGATCCAAAGGAAAATTTTACTTCCAGGAAGCATCAGAAATATTCTTCAAGATTTTATAAGTCACTAAATTCATTTTTAAACAATACCTAAACTTTTGTTTTGGCAGATGCTTAAATATTATACTATCTCCACTAGAGCATTTATGGGATTTCAGACTATTGATAAAACATAAATAGAGAATTTAACATCTGTGAAAGAAGTGGTAATCAAAGGTTTACCTTATTCACTCAAAATATCGGAACAAGTTTCTGCTGTTCAAATCACAAGGCACATTACTTAGTAGAGATTAAACTAAAAGCACAATCTAACATACATTTCTTTCTGTATGAAAAGAAAAAAACCCCACAGATTCATTGTATAAGCTGCTGATCAGTGTGCTAATTTACATATTATGGCTTAATGATCTCCTCTGTGTAGGCAAGCAATCAGGATTTAACTGTAAAGAGTCTGTAAAATGGAGGAGTATAATATTATATGACAACACACAAGTAATGGTTTCAAATTACAAGCAAATCTGAGAAGGGGAAAAAAGTCTTCTCCCCTTTCTCCCAAACACATGCACAATTTCCTTTAGAAGAAAAAAAAAACAAGAAAAATATATGTATTGCTTGCTCTTTCTCAAAAGTATATCAAATGCTGATTGATTCTAAATCATCTGAATTGTAATGTGACCATCAGAGCAAAACGTGGCCTTACAATGCTTTCCTGTAACTCAAAGGGCAGGACAAAAGTGACTGTGTTGAAAGAATTATAGCCAAGGACATAACTGTAATGAAGTATTATCACAGACATATAATATTATCAAAATATCAAACTCTACACATGTCAACAGTCACCCAACGTGATTAGAGGCAGATCTGGTTTTCAGTTTAGGTGAAAGTAGGCAGTTGTTTACGTTGGCAGATCACGGGGGAAAGGGAGGAAATGAAATGCCCCCATACAGGGTGCCATGGCCTCATGGCCTGTTTTGAGGACCCCGAGAGAAAGACAGGTAGGGACAGGAGCTGTGTGCCCCACCACCAGTAGATCAGCTCAGAGAGGGAGCAGAAGGTTAATGGTTCCCTGCCCACCAGTTCCTAGTAAATCTGCTCC